ACACACTCAGAATTAGGGATGGGGTATAGAATTAACACTTCTACTAGAGGCCCTTACCCCATGACTTCAACCCAGGGTCAAGGCTACTACTCTCTAACACTGGCCTTGAAAGTCCCACATGTCCCTTCTCTTGTCTGAGTTGCTGCTTTTCATGATGCTTAGTGTTCTGGCCTTTTCCTTCCAGCTCCCTTCCCTGCCCATTTTCTGGGGGTGAGGTCATTGGATGACATATTTGTTTTGGCTCACTTCCCTCCCTCAGGTTCCGTATTTGAGCTATGTCAGAGAAGAAGGCCTGTAGGAGAATGTTTAGGGCTCTGAGAAACAATCTTCTGGCTTAATCACCAAGACCTAGTGCCCACAGCAGCTTAGTCTTACCACATATAGGCAGCCAGGCCATCTTTCTTCCTGTAGTCCTTGGGCTATAGAAACCTACTTGACCAGAGGAATCAGAATTACTTTGCTGTTCATGTTGGAGGCTGTCAGTACTGTTCTGGTCTCCAAAAGATGCTAGCATTAAAAACAAGGAAAAAGAGCAAAACCCAGTGACAGGGCTCCTAAAAGAGCAGCAGCTTTACTTCATCTTTGGCTTTTTAACTTACAAAGAACTTACAGGTTGAACTGTAAGTCTGTAAGGGCTCCCCCAACTTCAACTGTTCATAATTAACTTGATTAACTGCTCACGATTGCGATATAATGAGAGCAGATGTACATATAGGAGCTTTGTATCTGGTTAAAGACACAGGCCTGACAAAACACCTGCCACTTCTTCTTCATTCCTCTCTAATTTCTCTAGGGACATCCCAGAGACTTAATGATTTTGGCATGGGTGCATCTTTTATCTAGCATCTTTTTCTGCAGTGTAAAAATAGTAAAGTGTATAGTAAATTATAAAGAAGAAAATATAAACGAAGAACAGTGCAACCTAGACATAACCATTGTTACTCATTTATTGTTTTTTGGTCCCTTTTAAGTGCATTTTTCCATATTTGAGACCATACCCTATATATGCTTTTATGTTTTCTTTTTTCCTGCACATGATCTTTAGAAGGACCTTTTTAGGGAAAGCATTGTAGCTAATTCAGGCAGAGACTGCTCCACTGTTGCATGGGGTCTAGCTTTAAGATAGGGTCCAGGAGGCATCACCTAATTCAGCACCTAGCACCACCACAGTTGTATTTGAAGTCTGAGTCTGAGCCTATTGGGTTAAATCTGCCATAATTACACTGAACTTTCAGCAAATTTTTCCAACCTTTTACTTAATATGTGCTTACCACTGTAGTTGGCAGTTGAAATTTCTTTTTCTTCTCTTCTTTTTGTTTTTTTTTGCATCATGCACTGTGTATATTTGCATTTCTTTTCTTTAAAGCATTTTCTTAATGAAATGATTTATTCCTCAATATGAAAGGCCTTTCAAATTGAAAATGTTTCCAGTTTTTAGTACAGCATGAGAGTCTTCAATTTTTTTTGGTGTCTAGGTTTACCTACTGTAATTTAGATTTTTTTTTAAACTTATAATTCATGGAGGATGGTTTTGAAGATATGGAGGATGAGGAAGATAACAAACCTAAAAGGTAGCATAAGGGAAGGAAAGATGAACCAAATGTAGATAATAAACATGGTATTTATTTTAAATTCACACCTCATATATTCCTCCTAGAACACAAGATCAGAGAGAAGTAGAAATATGATTTTATCTGTATTTTTAAAAAGACCTACATTAAGCAGGATTCATATGCATGCATGCCTGTATGTCTACAATGAAATCATATTTTAAAGAGGATTCAGCTGCATTGTATTTATAACCATGTGGTTGCTACCAGCTACCAGCACATCTCCTTGTGGTGGTTCACTTCTCTTTCCTCTGTGTCCTAATTCCGTTCTAAAGTGCTCAGCTTTGATAAAGCAGCCAGCTAGTCCACTGCCCGCTCCCCACCCCCTGTAGTATACAATCCCAGCTGTGGCTACCTGGGAATCCTGCTCTCTTGGGACCTGGTCCCACACAGGTCCTTGTTCTGACATGTTTGTCTAAGGTTGCAGGACAAAGTTTGAAGTGTTGGGGATCCAGATGCCCCTTGGCTATAATGAATCAATCTCTATTTGGGGTTCTGTCCTGTTTGTCCAGGATAAATGGACAGTTGGAACATAACCAGATCTGAGGCTCCTTCAAAAACATCAACTTAACAGCCTCCCAGGATATGAAAAAGATGGTTAGGTATTGCCTCTTAAACCTTAACGTGTATTGGAAGCACTTGGGAAAGGTGGTTAAAATGCAAATTTCCAGGATCTACCTGGAGCATCTGAGCTCATCATTTTTAGCAGAGGCTGGGAATCTGTGTTTTAAGCAAACACTATAATGTGATTCTGATAGTGGAGGTTCCAAAACCACACTTGGAAGAACACCAGGATTGGGTGTCATACCCACCCTCCTTCCCCTTCCTTCTTTTTTAAGGTTGCATGTTTTGAATCGTTGGCCTTACCTTAAACTTTATGTTAACCCTCCATCACCTTGGTAATATCATATGCATTTGGAAGGGGCGCACACTGATTTATTGCAGACTACTGTCCCTTTATGGTTGACTTGGGGACTCACCCACACAGGTAGATTCAGGATAGACTTACTATACCTTTCTAGCTGTAAAGTAGACATGCAGGGTGCTACTCAGAACAAATTCCTGGTATGGTGGATGAGGCACTTGTATTCTATGATTTTCTGTAGTACAAGCTCTTTAGCAAGTCTCCTGATTCCTTGTTGAAGTACACATAGGCACATACAGTGAACATGCATTCACAGTTCACTTCTGTGAACATTCCCTTTGCATTTCACGTGTACATCCTGGATTTCTTCACTCAGTCCATCTCCCAGTTTTCACATGTATAAACTTGTTCTTATGTCCAAATTTTGCATAAACTGTCATTGTTATCTGGGCTTAGATACTAAAAACTATTCAAACTCTTTTGCTTAAGGCGCATGTGGATACACACACAGTAAATGACAAAGAATAAAAACATCATTTCGGCCCTCTGATATAGATGTCCCTTTTATGGTACAAAGAGCATACATTTTAGAGTCACAAGACCTGAGTTTAAATCCTAGATCTGCTGATGACTAGCTACCCAATCTTAGAGAAGTTAATTAAATTCTCTGGGCATAAGTTTCTTCATTAGGATAACAAAAACTTGTAAAAACAACTAGTAACTGTATCTAGAACCTAATAGGAAACTCATAAATATTAGGTACCTCATTTATTCATTTATTTTGTATATGAAGGGAATAGTCCTCAAATTTCTCTCACACAGTGTATTGGTTAGGGTTCTTAACTGCAAGCATCAGAAACCATCCTGGACAAAATAAATGAAGAGGGAATTTTATGAAAGGATATTGGAGGGCTCAAAGAATTGCCAAGAAAGTTGAAAAGCCAGGTACAGAAGATGAGCTGGAGTGGCAAAGCTGATTCTGCACAGTCCCTGTTACTTGCATTGCTTGCTGGAGATTTAAAAAGCTCTTAGTGAATGGTCAGTCTGGCCATGCCTGGGGCCTAGGCTTGAACTCCCTTGTCATGGTCAGCATAGTACCCCTAGACTTTCTGGCTTCTGTAGTTTGAATTCCTCAAAACTAAGAAGAGAATTCAGATGTTGGGCGACTGTCCAGGGTCTCCTCTCACCATTTCTCATGTGTTCACAAATCATCCCTTTCTATGTATACATTCATTCTTAATTATAGAGTCTTTCTGCTTTAAGAACCCCCCTCCAGCCTAGCACCAGTCTGTTTTCAACCACTAGTTTAGACCTTTCTGCTCTGTCTCTCTTCCTCTGCTCAGAATCCTCCCTGCCAGCACCCTTTCCACCCCCAGATCCTGAACAGCCTAACTCTTGCCTATTCTACAAATGACAACTTGGTTGTCAACTTCTCCTTTGTTGTGATACACCCCTCCTCCTGTCCAAGACTAATTTGCTCCTTCCTCTAAGTTCCCAGGCCCTTTCTCTATGTCTCCATTATCGTACTTGCCTCATTTTACTGTGAATATGTACTATACTTTTAAATGGTCTGACCTCCATCCGTCTCCCTACCCAATATGAGGTTCCTTAAGGGGCATGAAGTCTGTCATTCATCTTTGCAGCCTTGGATCTTAGCACCTGGTATATGCTTAGTGTATTTGTTAAACAAAACACACATTTCTCAGTTCTCCCTCACCACGTACATTTTGACTCCCTTCATACAGACAGAAGACAAATCCATCTTTAAAAAAAAAATAGAAATAATCCATGTAAATGTGTCCGGCAAACTATAAAGTGTTGGACAGATTTGAGCCGTTATAATTGTTTATTCCATCTGGTTTTACATATCTTCTGTCAATAGCATGTATGCCCTTATTCTACCTCATCATATTTTAGCAGAAAAAAGTTATGACGCGGGATTCCCGCCTACCTCTTCCAATTCTGCCGAGTCTCCCAGTAACTTGCACCGTCAAAAAGGAAGCCAGACGGAGGGGCGGGGGCACAGCAAAAGCAAGCACTCTTGCCTAGACGACTCGCTAGTCCAAGTCCCTTAAGAAGTTATGCCAAGTCGGAGCAAGTCCCCCACCTTTGTAGCTCCAGTTCTCTCTCCCAGTTGAGGTTGTTCGGGTTGGCTGTTGCCACATGCATACACAGACTTCCCCTCCTGGCGTCCCCAGCCCACGTCCTCGCTCGGTTTCCGTTCGCCCGCTACCCTGGGAGAAGCAGCTATGGTCGCTCCCTGCTCGGCGCGGGCCGTGGAGCTACCACCCCCGCGCCTCTCCCAGCGCGCGACCCCGCGGCCCGGTCTTCCCCGGTGTACTTTGTTACTCCGCGCTGACCTCCGGGCTGCAAGGGGCCGGCACGTGACCGAGAAACTTTGGCAGCCGGGTGGCGGGCGGAGGCGCGGGGAGGTGGCGCGGCGGCTGAGCTCCCCCGCGCGGCGGGCTCTGCGGCGGGGAGGCGCTCGCCCCGCGCCGCGCTGCCGGGGCGTGCGGGTGCGCCGAGGCGGCAGGGAATGCGCCGGCGAGCGCCGCGCGGATCTCGGAGCCCGCGGCAGCGCGCGTTCGCAGGCGGCGCGGTCCAGACCCCGGCCCCGCCTGCGCTGCTGGCCCGGCGGCGGCACCCCGGGGCTCCCCGTGCTCCGCGGCCGCCTCCAGCCGCGGGCGTCTATAGATCCTGACGTTCCAGCCCTTTCCCACTTTCCTCACTCTTTATCTGGATGGGAAGTTGGGGAAAATGGACAGGATCGTGGTGAGGTGGATTGCTGTCTTCTGGCTAGCAGGTGAGAGTCATTTTCCACAGGGACGAATAACTTTATATGTATTCATGTAGTGGTACTGTTCTCACCCCACCCCACCCCCATATTCTTCCTTATTGACTGTGTTTAAAGCTGCTTAGCGGGCTGGTGGTAAGTGGGGGATGGGGGCTGTGTGTGTGTATGTGTGTGTGTGTTAAAATGATGGGGGAGGAGGGGGAGAAGCTCTATTCCAAGTGAGATGGCTCTTGATGCAGGTGTTTGACTCACTGGTGCTGTGAGGTGGTTCTTTCCAATGTGCATTTCCCCCTCCATACAACGGTTCTTCTGTGGTCTTATCCTGAGTTTGTAATGCAGTAAGTCCTAGGAAAAATCTGGCTAGAAAAAAGGAAGCTTAGAGGAAGCAGGTTAATTAAGTGAACTGGTTTTCTAGGGGTGGGGAGTAGACTGTCTCCCCAATTCCTCTGCTAGAGAAGGAGCTAGACCCAGGGACATCTTTCTGTGATTCCTGGAGCGGGTGGAGGGGAGTTCAGAAGGAGATGGGGATGGAAGCTTGATTGGTTGTGGAGTTTCACATCTGACAGCCTCTCACTTGTTACCATCTGAGAAGTGGTCCCAAATGATATTAGAAAGGAGAAGACCCTATCTAATTGATGCACTACCCCCCAACACACACACACACACACACACACACACACACACAATTTCAGAAGTTAAGAGGCATTGAGCTTTTCCCCAGACTAGAGTCACAGGTCTGGTGGGTCCTCCGTGTCCTCCCTTACCTTTTCGTGAACTTTCTCCCCATTCATCTGGGGTCAAGAAAGGCTCTTGTTCCCAACATGTTTCCCCATATGGTGATTCTACTTGGTTAAGGAACAAGTGGCTCTTGGGGGTGGCCAGTCCTGACAGATTCATAAAGCAGCCCTGCTAAGGGTGTGTGGGATGGGGGTAAGGGCCATTTGAATAGCTTAAACTGGTCAGAGGCAGCCATTCAAAGCAAGGTAGAGACAGAGTGATGGAAGAAACAATATGGGGTTAGGAAGGTGAGGACTGGACTAGGTGAAGGGCAGGAGAGAGAAGGAAATAGTAGCACAAAGGAAGAAGTTTTGTTCCCTCTGGGGTACCAACTTGAAGATCTGGGAAAAAATCAAGTCACTAGGAAAAGGGGAACAAGCAACATTAAAGAAGGAACAACAGCAAACCCCTATTTCCCTTAGTTCAGGATAAGATTATTGATGGACTAATTGTTTTTCCTGTTTTCTGTGAAAGGTCCCTAACATTTAGCTTGCCCCCCCCCACACACACACACTCCCCCGCTGTGTTTAGGAGGGGCACCCTCAGCAGAGTTAGCCTCTTCTTTTGGCTGCTTTGAGTTCATCCCTCCCACATTATTCAAATATGAATCATCTCTAATTTCAGGGTTTGGCTGATCCATGCCTCCCTCCTCCCCTGGCCTCTCAGTGCCTTCTACTTCTATCCTCAATGATTCTTAACATCCTTAATTTTCCTCTGCTTCTCCCTTATCATATTCGAGGGGAAACTTAGGCCTTGAACCTGTATTACCTCCTCCCTGAAGTCAGCCAGGCATCTAGGGAGGGGTTCCCTGAGTCCCTAGAGGTACTCTTCCAGATACCCCAAAGTCTGCCCAAGAGACTCTGGGGATTTACAGAGAATGGGAGAATACGGATAACATATAGTCTGGATGACTAATAGCTTTTTATGAAATGGACTCATATCATGGGGGTGGGGGTGGGAGTGCCACGGGAAATCTGTTCTGCGCTCTCAGTTTATAGAAATGGAGGCCCAGCGAGGCAGTGTGCACACAGCACATTCCTGATACAACAAGGACTAGGTCCCAGTTCTCCCAAACCCTGAGCCAGTCCTATTTGCACTCTCCTAAACTGCCTCGCTGTTTTTTTTTCTTTTTCCTGTTGAAGGGTTTTTAAATTTTATTTTTGTTTTGAGGGAAGTGATGCTTTGTGTCTTCTGCCATCTGCACTTGGAGAGGCTGCTTCTCCCTGGAAGCAGGCAACAGGTTAGTTATCAGGGCTATCTCAGCTGTGAGATGGCTGGAGCTTCTTTGCTCCACAAGTGAGGCTGACTGCTGAGCTCCTATTGACCACTCACTAGCATCCGTGGCTCCCAGCCTCTGCTTCAAACCCCCCCCCACCCCACCCCCGTTCTGGGATCCCATCACTGCTGTGTCAAAGGTGCTGAGGAAGAAGCTGCATCTCAGCTCCAGCAAAGTAGAGGAGCTCACAATGGCGGCTGGGGAGGTGGGGGGAGGAGAGAGCTGAGGAGGAGATGGATTCAGACTCATTCTTCTCCGAGAAACCATGTGAGGAAAGGTGAGAAATTTTAGTCCAGCCCAATCAATGAATTTTCTCTTGAGGGGGTGGAAGAAAGGGAGGGAGGCAGAAAAGGATAGATTAAAATGAGAAAGCCAGGGAAAAACCATATCAATTCCCTTTCTCCCTCCCTTTTTTCTCCCCCCTCAATCTCTCTTTTCCTTTCTCTCTTTCTCTCCTACTCTCCCCTCCCCTTTGTTTCTCCTTTTTAATGCAGGCTGAGCAATTTCTAATCAACACTTCAGTATCTTTTTTCCTCAGGCTCTAGCAGCTCCAGCCTTGTCTTTCATTGCTAAATTCTGTATTTCTTTTTGCTATGATGTCTTAACTGTCATTGTGATGCTGCTTCCTGTAATAGATTGTTTTTGTTATTGTTGTTGTTTTGAACAAAACAAAATGCTTACCAGCTGCTATTTTAGCAACAGGTGCCATCTAGCAATAAGACTTGAAGGAGGGTTCACTCTGTCTTTGTTCCTGAATATAGACGGCGTTTTATCCTTTTCTGGCAGCAGAGGCAGCGAGAAATGCTGGAGCTGTGTCTATACTCTGGGAACACACTCCTGGAGCAAGCAATGTGTTTTCCTACAGACTCTTTTGGGTATCTCTGTGATGAAGATTGCTTGCCTTGTTAGCATTTCTTCTGGTAACCTTTTGGTTTCACTCATTTATTTATTGTGGAGTGCTTTAAAGGAGTTCCTAACCTAGCCTGCAGTGGAAAGGAAGGCAGCAGGGAATGGTTGCTTCTTGGTCTGGTTTCTGTTGAGGTATACATCTAGGCACCATGTGAGGATAGGCTTGAGTGTGAAGAGTTAAAGTGTTATTAGCCCTGGACAAGGAAGAATCACTTTTAGAGACTACTTGACACCTCACCTTCCATTATCTCCTTTCCTGTCCTGTATACCTTCAAATTTCTCTCCTGCCTCTGTTCTACTTTCCTCCATAGACATGACCTTGTTCATACCAGAGCATTGTCTTTCAACTCTTTATCACAGCTCTCCCCACTCTGTGCCACCCCCAGCCTGGATGCTTCTCTCTAGACTAGGAATGGGAGGTTGTTTCCGTATCCTCCTGACTCTTTACTTTTAGACATATGAGTCTGATGAATGGCTAGTTTATATAGACTTGAGTATTAGTACGAGTAGGCTTAATGCAAATGCTGTGCGAGTACTAGCTACTTATCTTAGTGCAAGTACTATCAGTACCAGAACAAGGTTAGTGGAAAGAACCCTGACCTGGGAGTTGAGGGTTGGGTCCTAGTTTTAGCTCCTTCATGAGTAACTATGTAGCCATGGGCAAGTTTGGATCTTGGTCTTATAACCTGTTAAACAAGGTGATTTCTAAGGTTACGTTCAGCTCTAAGATTTTAGGGTTCTGAACTTTTCTCCATTTAATTAAAAATCAAAGCTGAAGAGTGACAGGCCCATTCTTCCTTCTGTAATTCACTCAGGAAGAGCCATCAGGGAGATCTAGGTGTGTTTGCTTTTTTAGCCTTTCCCACTCTTAATGATTGAAATGAAAAACACCAGTTGGAAAGGAAGAGCTCTTGTTAGAATTTCCAGAATAACAAATGGAGTTGAATTCAGTGCTTGATGGACAAGATTCCCTCTAAACAATTAAATATGGTTAAATGCAGTTATATTGAGGACTGGTAAAGTGAGGCAAGTACTTTGGACCAGATAGGAACTTATTCCAGCCAACACGGGCCTAGAATGTCCCTTCTGATCTTAAATTTTTGTTCTAGGACCCACTCACCTCTTCACTCCTTCCAACTATTTTAACTCATGCCTGCCTCCCTTTTCCCAGCCAGGAATATAAATAAAAGCATGATGTGGTTGCTAGTGTTGTTGCTTATTTATAATGCTTTTCTATGTGTTAAATGACTTTCACATACATTATTCCATCTGACCCTTCTAACTAACTAAGGCTGGAACTACCTATCTAGACTAAAGAAGACCAAGGCTAAGATGAAATGCATGACTTGTCCAAATCTATAACATCTGCTTGATTAAAACAGTACAAAATAGTATTACTGCCTTATTATGATTTGGTTATTTCAAGTGCCTGAATCCAGGGGAAACATTCTTTTCTGGTAAAGTGGGTCAGTTGGAGCTGATTGAGGTAAACGTACATGGTGTCTATTACGGGACATTGGATATTGAGGATTAGAGTTCATAAAACTCAGGAAAATAATGCAGGAAAAGTGAGAAAGAATGACAGTTTTTCCTAACAAAATCCCAAGACATATGGGAAAAGAGTGAATGAGGAGTGCTCCAGCAAGGCATGTGAGAGCAGAGGATGTGCCCAGTGACAGAGCAGATACTGCTGGCACATCGGAGCCCATCTGGGACTGGGGCGGGTGCTGTGCTCCCGGGAGCCACACAGGATGTAGCAATGGCATATGCATGCTTAAAGTCTTGGTGTTCAACATAGTTTTTGGCTCTGTGAAAATGAAAAAAAAAAAAAAAAGGCATTTTGGATGACTAGAGTTCTTTATGGGCCAAGAAACAAGGAAGAAGTCAGAAGAACATGCTGCTTCCTGTGTTCTCTTTCCGCATCTGGAACCCTGCAGGAAGTGGTGCTCTGAATTAGGAGTAGAACCTGCATGTTCAGCTGAGATCCTGTTTCATCATTCTGCTCTGTCCATGCCCTTAGCTCATCAAAAGGTAGATGACTTGGAGG